AATCCTCTGGCATATGGCATGTCCCATACGGAACCTTCCGATGATCCAGAACTTGGGAGTCGACGTGAAGAACTTATTACCAGCGCAGCTAAGAAGCTTCAAATAAATCAGATGATCGATTTTCACCAGGGTCATTATTTCGTATCCAGAGATATTGGACGTATTGCTTCGAATTACTATATAAAGTACTCGAGTATAGAAACTTTCAATAAGCTTCTGAAAGAAAGAATGAATGAGGCCGATATATTCTCGATGATCAGCGAAAGTAGTGAATTTGCTGATCTAAAGTCTAGAGAAGAGGAGAGCAAAGAACTTTCCGAGTTGAAAAATGATTATTGTTACTGTCAAATAAAGGTAAGTTGCAATAAAGAAGAGCATGAATAAATCGGCTTTCCGAATCTTTTAATAAATATCCGTCTATTCTAATGCTGAAAATCCAGCAAACATCCGACACAACACCGGGAAAAGTTAACATCCTGTTGCAATCTTACCTTTCGAAAGCCAAGATCGAAGACTCTGCATTGATATCGGATTCGGCTTATGTTGCGCAGAATACAGCTAGAATTATTCGGGGTTTATTTGAAATTGCTCTTTACCGTAACTGGAATCATGTGACTTCATTATTATTGGAGATATCCAAGAGCATTGACAAGCAAATGTGGACGTTTCGAACACCTCTGATACAATTTGGTTTGCCTGATGAAATTATAACGAAAATCGAATCACACTCAAATCTCACCATAGAAAAGATGAGAGACATGAAACCTCCTGAATTAGGACAATTGGTCCATAACAACCGTTATGGTTCAACCATAGCTAGAATTGTGGATCTCTTCCCGTCGCTCAAGCTGGATGCTTGTGTTTACCCAATTACGCGAACCATTTTGCGTGTATCTCTTGACATAACACCAGACTTTAGTTGGAGTGATCGTGTTCATGGCACAGCGGAACCTTGGTGGATATTTGTTGATGATTCCGAAAGCGAAGAATTATATCATTCGGAATATTTCTTACTGAGCAAAAAGCAACACAGTGAAACACAAAAGCTTGGCTTTGTCATCGCCGTTCAAGAACCATTACCCTCACAGATTTATATAAATGCTGTCTCTGACAGGTGGATTGGCGCGAAATACTCGTTTCCAGTATCTACGAATAACATAGTCCTGCCCGAATATTACCAACAGCACACAGAATTATTACCGCTACCGCCGATTCCAGTGACGGATCTCAAAAATAAGATTCTTGAAGAAATATGCGCCAAACGATTTTCGCATTTCAATCCAGTACAGACCCAAGTTTTTAATACTTTGTACAATTCGTCAAACAATGTTTTGGTTGGTGCACCCACAGGTTCTGGTAAAACTGTTATTGCTGAACTTGCCATGTGGTAGGTCAAATAACAATTAACTTGATTGCCGGTATTATGATCTCTTAGGAATC